CTAGCACAGATAGCCCTCGTGTAGCTTTGCGCGAAATTCAAAACAATCAATCTTGTAGAGGGTAAGGAGAAAACAAGGATTGTGGGACAATACCATAATGAGTTGCTTAGTTCGTTAGTCAGTGAGTGGTTAATTAGTGAGTCGATACAAGACAAAAACCAGACATTGGATGAGTTGAATAGAATTAATTCAGTCGATGAGTCAGTTAATTGATTAGTAAGTGAATATTTTACTGTATTATCAATCCGTTACCATGTGTGTTTGTCAGCCAGTTTTAAGTTGTGTTGTAGATACGAGAGGAAATTTTGCAAGTACATAAGTGACTTCAGTTTTATTTGTGAGTCAGGCCTATCATCACTTACAGAAATTCTGTAGAAATTTTATATGTAAGGTTAAGTCTACCCGCGAACTTGGCTTGTAAAACCTTTACTATGTAATCGGTAATAAACGCTTCTGTTTTCAATAAATGGACCGGATTTTGCATTATCTTTACTAAATAGTCAAAAAGAAACAACTCAATGAAAGAAGCATTTAGAAAAATACTCATCAACATTTCAAACTGAAGAAGAGTTAGGCACGCCTCTATCAGAGGGAAGAAAGAAATTTCTTAGGAAGCATTTTATAACACAACTCCTAAATATTGTTGCGTCAGCGAGGTCACGTGACTAGTATCACGCCGCTTCTTCACGAACCTTCATGAATTATTGGGAGACTACTAGATTGGGGGTAGTCTGGTATATATAAGACGCTCACAACGTGACGCAACAAGTGAATGAGTAATTGAACTGCAGTCATAGAGTGTGTAATTGAACTGAGTATTGTCGAGCACGAGCACGTGAGACGTTAGAGCGTTTGTATAGAGCGACTGTTGAAATTAAGTGTATCGGTAAAGTTGTATTCGGAAAGAATAAACCAGTTTTATTTAAGAAAGGACTTGTGTCGCTAAAGTTTCGTCGGAACGAATTTACGAAAAACTTACTAACGACTGGAGGCGTAACAATATGATTTTTCATGCAATTTGAAAGAGAAATATTAAAAATTTCCCCAATCATAATAAAGGTATCACTGAAATCTGGGGCTTTCTACATCCCCTACAAGTTTTACTTAAAAGTATGGAAAGTGATTTAAACTTAAAGTTCTGCTTTCAAAATGCCGATAAATAGTTTAAGATAAAGGAATAAACGAAGCTGTTGGACTATTTTTTTTCAAATTCAGAAATTTCAGTGATTAAAAGCGGTAAGCAGTAAACGAGTTAAATCGGTAGCCTTATGTAGTAGAATGACAAGTATGCACTAAATATAGATAGTAACCCAATTTTGTTTCCAATATATACAAGTGTTATATATAAACTCGTGTGTCATTCTTATTACCTTCGCCCCTTCTCCGGGGGCGAGCTTATTGCAATGTGATCCGCGCGTGTGTGTGCGTCTGTCTGTGTTTCCGCACGCGTATCTCGAAAACTAAGAAATCGTTGTACCTACACGATAATTTTACACAAGATTGGAAGTCAGTATGGGGCAGTCTTCTGCAAATTTGATTTGGATCCAATTTCAGATCCGGATTCTGGATCACTTTGAAGCATTTTTTTATAATGGAAGATAGGGTATTTTTGCAGTTTTTAATGTTGAAACTCCTCCTCACACTGCAAAAAATGATCCTGATCGTTGATCATTCTGGATCTGAGACGGATTTTATGAGTTTTCGAAGGTGAAAAATTACATTATCCAATATAAACGTATGCAATTTCGAAAAGGAGCGGCGGGGTGGAGGGTATGCAGTCTTTCTGATTACTCTTCTTCACAAATGTAACCAGGACTGGATGATACATGGGCCAAAGTATAAGATTGTCAACATAAACTGTGATTAAATATTTCCACTAAGTTTGAAACATTGATAATTTTTACACCCATCAGTCAGAAGTTGAACGTAAGAAGCGCACACAATTATTTTTCAAGCTGTTATGAATCTGAATGAGGTTGCTGCAACTTAAATTGATTTAAATTATAATCATTCTAGAATGCTCAACATATGTATGTATACAACTGTATTTAGAATAATAAAGATTTACGATATCTAATTTCTGGTCAGCGGTAAAATTTGTTCAATCTGACCGTAAGCGTTGTGAAAAATTATGCATAATATTTGTGGAGATATCAATTTATTAACTATTTTTTTTAGCTATCCCTAAAATGCTTGCAAGAGGGAGTTTCTGAGATGATTATTCTATTGTTATAATTAGTACTGTTGCGTCAGCGAGTCACATGACCACTGTGACGACACGTTTCTAGAACTATCTTGTTTCTTCATGAATGCTCTAGTGTTTGCTAGATGGGGTAGGCGGGTATATATAAGAGGGGACAACGTGACAAGGTAAGGTAATGTGTGCGTAGATAGTGAGTAACTGATCTGCAGTCAGAAGTATTATTGAGCATGTTCATTGTTATAGCGTTTGTTT